GGCATCGCATCTCGCTCATATCAGTCCTATGCTCACTGATCACGACAGAATTCTATAAGACGAAACATTTGACACTGAGGATCGATTGAATGCCCCAACTGGCATATGAACATGTGATCGGAGTTGNTTGTATGTAAGATCGCACTCTGCTCAACTCTACTTCATTTTCCCCAATGATGTCCTATACTCTACCTTCGTGTTTTATATATTTGTGGTTATCTACCACTAAAATTTGCTTTTTACATCCGAGACACGGTTTGGGGCAGTTGCCATCGTCCACACAAACCTGCAGGTGATGCCAACTATCAGTTTTACTTTGATCTCCGTACTGGATATTGCCCTTCACTGTATTTGACTCAATTTCTGCTTAAATCATCCTGTATTGTCTACCTTTCATCCGTCCCCCCCACCTCGTTTCAATAAAATGAATAGTTCAATGCTACTGGATCCCCGAACACCACCCATTCTCGAGCAGTACGTGCGGCTGCTGGTGGCAATGGTAGCTCGCTGCCGCTATCCCAAACTGGTGGTGGAGCTGCGGTTCCAGTCTCTGCAGTTCCCAATACAAACACCACCTCATCCAACTACTCGTCGTCCGGCGGGTCCGCAACCGGAGCTTCTACACGTCCCAGTGGGCCACGCGCGAACACCGATGGACATAGACTATCTGAGGTAAGTTGTGCCCGTTTCCTTCTGGTTAGAACAGGGACACACGAACCTCGTTAGAACAAAGTCATATGTCCGCTTGCCTCACTCGACTCGTTGGTGCATTACTTGCATTCTGTCTTTGTGGGCCATGTATTGTATATAGCTGAAAGATTTTAGTATGAGTAGATGACATGACACGTTTGTGATTGATATTTGTTTGCGTTGTTTTGCGAAGTTTCTAATCCATATGGGAAGGTCATGTTTCATCCTGGGGACGCCGTGCAAATATAGGGCGATTTGCAGCTCATCCTTTAGGGAACAATCTGACAATAATAATTGCTATCTGTTGCATGCTAGCCAACAAACACTGGGTCATTCATCGCCTGAGTCCTCGGCTACACTCGATATATTCCTGGACATGTTTAGATTATGTCCTATGTGTATGTGTGTGTTGAACTTTCGTTCCCTCTTCCTCAACTTGGGCCC